TCCCTGCAAATCGTTGAAGGTGAGCCGTAGAAAAGTTAATTGGGTCAACTCTAATGCGAACCAAGATGGGATTTCACCAGTTATTGAATTGTCAAACAAGTCTAGAAACGCAAGTTGGGTCAGGTTAGCCACAAAACATGGGAAATTCCCCTGTAAGTTAATATCCGAAAGATCCAAGTAGTTGAGCTTGGTTAATTTTCCAAAACAAGACAAGGAATCAGGAACTAAGAATTGGCCTGCAGAAACGTCATGAAATGAAGCCATCTCAAGGAAACTGAGCTGGGTAAGGTTTCCAAATGAAGATGGAACATGGGAATCAAAACCACAATATGAGATATCAAAGTAATTTAAGGAATGAAGGTTTCCGATAGAACTAGGAAGTTCACCAGAGAAATTTGTCCATGAAACATCCAATGTTTTGAAGGAATTGGTCCTGTTAAAAGTAGGAAAATAACCATTTAGGTTTGTATTTGAGTATAATATAAGCTCTTCTAGGTTTGGTAGGTGGAAAATGCCAACTGGGAATTCCCCATTCAACCCACAGTAGCTTAGATTGAGAGATGTGAGAGAAGATGCATTGACCAAGATATCAGGCACAGTAGAGTATATGCCTACATCATTAAGATGAAGTTGTTTTATGCTGGTCAAGTTTTGGATTAGGATTCTCATGTTGGACTTCCTAAGCTCCAAACCATTATTTTGAGACAGATCAAGGGTAGACAGTTTGGATAGCTTTGAAATTTCAAATGGAATTTGACCAGAAAATGCAGACAGTGAAAGGTTGAGATATGATATACTCGAAAGGTCATGGCCCAATCTCGATGGTACTTCAGAGTAATTGAAGTTGTTATCTGAGAGGTCAAGCATCTGCAAGTGAACAAGTCGGAAAAGGGTGCTGTTGGAATTGATAGAACCATAGAGACAACCGCTCTTGAGGTCAAGGCCAATGACACGGCCAGACTCCGCATGACACTTAACACCATCCCACAAACAACAGTTACTCTGATTCTGATCTCCTTCTTGAGCCCAAGATGCAACCTTCGGATAAGCAAAAGGAGATGAAGAAGCTGACTTGTCTATCGTAAAGCTTTCCTTGAATTGTAACAAGAATGATTGCTCGTCAACATGGCAAAGTGTCTGTGTCTGAGTCTGCACAAATGAAAAATAGTGAGTAGCATTGAGTAATAGCAAAAGAAGACAATGCAAACAGGTAAACTTGGACAACCAAGATTCCATTTTCATGGCAGTGTGTTTTTTTGGTTATAGGAAATATTGTTTTATGGCTCTCGAATAATTAAGAGTGGAGAAGTTAACTCCTTTTATAGACACAACCCATGCAAAGCATAAATAAATAAAAAAGCATGAGTCAATTGACGAGTGGGTGGTGAATTGATGTCTCGATCAATTGAAGACTTGGAAGTCATGAATTCTTTTTCAAGATTCTTGGAAACGTTTGTTTTGACTCAGAGTAAGTACTGGTTTGGTAGTGAGGTACTTTTATAAAAAAGTGGGTATAAAAAAAAGCTGAGCTCAAAAAGGTGTTTGGTAAACACTTAAAAACAACTTATTTTCACAGTTTTTGGTGAAAAAAAAAAGCTGAAAACGTGAAGCAGCAAAAATGAGCTTATTCTCATAGCACAGCAAAATTTTTTTTTTTTTTAAAGCACAACAATACCAAACCAGCCTTGAGTCGTTTGGATGTAACAACTCTAGCTAGCCTAGCCAATATAGGAAAGTTTTGAGAATGGGAGAATTAGTGCCACGCTAGAACATGTAACTCTTGAAGGTAGAATATATATTACTCATTAAAGAAACTTATCCATTTCAATCAATCCGCCCAAAAAATGGGAGAATTAGTGCCACGCCCTGATCTTGAGAATCCTCTAGAAACATGCTAACATTTGGAACATCAAAACATGATGGGAAAATCAATAAACAAGGCACCACAAAGTCACATTAGATAATAGTCAAGGGCGTATAATTTGGTTGAAGCTTCGTCCAACTTGTGTCTCAATTGTTCATGAATGTAACTATAACAAACACCGTCAAACACTTTGTGGTAATAGTCAAAGGCGTATAATTTGGTTCAAGACTATAAGCCTTAATCAATTAGTAGCAAAAATATGGTTTCACACTAATCTCATGACGAGAATGTTTGCGGTGACAGTGAAAGAGTGTAACTTGGTTCAAGACTTTAAGCCTTAAAAGTGGATCCATGCATAAGACTAGAAGGGAGATGGAAGAGGCGGGGGAAAGGAGGTAGTAGGGACCCGCCGACTGGTGAGAGCTTCGACTACTGTTTTAATTTTTAATTTTTTTTATTATAAAAAAAATTTCGGTAAGCCCATATCAATTCCAGAACATTTTAAGTTTAAAACCGAAATTAGGCATAATCAAAGATGGACCATTTCATCAGCATATGTGAAAGGTCTCAAGACATACCAAGAAAAAGGTAGGCAACAAAAAGAAATTAAACGCAGAAACTCAACAAAATAAACAATTTAGAGGTTAAGCATCTAAGGTACAAGCTTAAAGATCATAGAAAATAAGAACTTACAGAGATTATCAGGCAATTTCTGGTTTTTGAATTTGGGATTAAATGATTCAAATAAGCACTTGAAAGAGTGATTGATAACAAAAATCTGAAGTCAACACAACATGCAGTCATCTACAGAGCTCAAATACACATTCACTAAACATAGTCCACCATCAATCCACACACATATTTGGTTAAAGGATAAAAGTAAGTTTAACCTGTTGTGCCACCACAGCATCTTGAGGATCATCCGTGAGGAGCAGAAAGCAAAGTTTGTACAAAAAGAAGTGTTGTTTTCAATGTTAGGGTGCCTTCAACATATGAGATACATGCACCCAAAAAACATTATTAGTGATCTTTATGGATATTGTTTCTCTGAGTATTCCAATTCAGTGGCACTTGGCTGTTTCTCTTACTCTATGAACTGTTTTTTCCTTAAAGCAAATTCTGCTGATAAATAGTTTATTCACAAAAATTATGAAATACAATTGTACATTAAGTGCTAATAATTTTCATAAATTGGCTAGTTAAATTTCCTCACAACTTGAGTGATGTCTAAAATAAATGATGGATGTGGTTATAGTTTACAAGTTTCACCTTTACATTTACCCACGATTTAAGTGGTATATTTAAACTCCAAACGATGCATAGGTTATCAAGTAGTTACATCATTATTTAAAAAATTCACATCCAATAAGAGTATAAATACATCTAATTGGTAATATCTTGAGAAAGAGATACCTGGCAATGGGTCGACTTGCAATGAACTAAAGAACTCGACTTTTTCTTATGATTACATCACCACCTTCAAGAAATACATTAATCAGTAAAATCAAAAGCGACAATACAAAAGAAAATCCCAAGTAAAGTTCTCATTAACAGTGAAATTATATTGCACTAAAAGATTTAGAGATAAGGAGATAACGATTTAAACAATATTATCTCAATCATCGTTCTGATAAAGAGAATATGTTACTTGTCCAAAACTACCAATCAGACCACGGATCAAAACTAACTGTCAAAACCTTTCATAATAGAATTATTGTTCTTTCTTAAGATTCCAAATACTTGGACACACAATCCTTTTATAGTTTTTATGGATACTTGACCCTCATCAGTCTTATATACTCCCCTCGTGGCCATGAGACTTTTTTATGAGAGCATTAGACAGAAGGGCATGCTTTGAGTATTCAAAATTTTTCAATTTCTCAGTTTTCTCTAAACCTCGTGATATGCCAATAATAGTTAAAGATGAATGAACAAAATAAAGAAAAAGGTTAAAACCAAAGGAGAACTGAAATAGAGAAAAGAAGAAAGAAAACCATAAATGGAACCCAAACGCAAAGAGAGAGAGAGAGAGATAAACCCAAAAGCTTAACACAATCTCATTTGCATACCATTTGACCACATTAAGAAACCCATAAAGCATAAAAATTTAGAAGCAAAAAAGAAAAGGTTCGTAATTGCCATTGGAAATGCATAATGTACATATGGAAACCAAATTGAATTATTATGCCCTTTCTCCTCCTCTCCTCCTTCCTCCATATACTGGTAGTTACAGTCAATCCATTTAATTTATTCTCAACTTCATCAAAACAACCAAGAAGTATAAAACAACAAGGTTAATTCTCACTTTCTTTAATCAAAATGAATTCTACTTCTTCTCATCTATTTGCACATCCCTTCAGCACTCTCAATTGATAGTAAAACAGAAAACAAATTGTTGCAAGAAAGAAGAGATTGGGGCAAGGTTTGCACATCCCTTCAGCACTTCTTCTTTTGTTTACAATGTAAGCACTTTCTTTAAGGGAAATGGTACTGAATGTTTACAAAGGGAATCAATACTACACAAGAACATGTAGCAGAGCTTCTAAAAATTACAAAGGATAGCTTTGTTGCAAAAGGAATGTAAAGGAAATGACAGGAAATAATAGAGCCTTTTGGGAAGTCTTGCTGTTTTGTTAAGAGAGTTGAGTGTCCTTTTCACTTGCTTTTCTTGCTGCTTTTATAGACTTCTTAGTTCGATTGTCCAAGTTTTCCCTTTCTAGCAAAATTTCAATCCCGCATGATTGTCTTCGCATGGGGTGAATCACCTTAGATCCTTCATTATTTACCAATTTTGCCATTGAAAAGGTGCCTTTTTGCTAAGGTCTTACTGTTCATCGTACATCGTGTGATCAATTTTTGTAAGGTACTGTTTGTATTTAATTTTAAATAAAAATATTTAAAATGATTTCTGACTGCATGATATATGATGAATGAACACGATTAACAGATACCCGGGATCTTCACAAAGAGGATTCGGATTCTTAGCTGCCCTGCACCATCATTTTAATATTATGTGGGCCGCCGCTTCACCAAAGCAGTCACTAGCCCAAAACAAATGCATTGCACAACTGGGCTTCCTTTGAATTAAGCCCAAGATTAATTATAAACCCAAACACTTGCCAGAGAGATGGACACAGAAGGGGATTGAGAGAGAGCGCCCGCAGAGACAGGAAGGCCGGAAATTGAGAAAGAAGGCCATGCTTGCAGAGAGCGACTGAGATTTGAAATCCATGCCTGCCTCAGCTGATTACAAAGGTGAGAAGTCGTTTTCAAATCTTTGTGCTTCAGGGTTATGTTTACGAACTCTATTTAGTTCATAGAGCTTCAGATTCGAAATTGTAATTGTGGTCAGCAAGAATTCGAAAAATACTTGAGCGATGCAGATGTCTAAGACGTAGCCATGGATGCAGATGCATATGGCCATTCCATGGCTGCTGCTGGAAAGAATCAAATGGAAAGTTAAAAAAATATTTTGTTCCCAACCCCAAGATCAAGTTTGATTGGCCAAGACAGCTTGGTCCGACGGATCCTGAGAGAACGATCCGGAGAGCAATCGAACATGCAAAGGTAGTGATTGAAGGTTTAAGAAGTAAAGTTGTTTCAGTATTAGCGCTGTGGGGTTGTGTTGGGCCGGTGAGTTCATTTTCCTATGTCATGGACCATTGTTTTTTGTTGGGATTTCTTTGTTCGCTTGAAAAGAGTCATAATCTAACCATTTGTATTGTGTGTACATCAATCAATTAATGGAAAATAATCTATCTTCTAAGTTTCTTAAACATTGCCTCGGAAATTTACATTCGCATCCACGTTTAATGTAGTTATATGGGTTACATTGTCTCCATCTACAACCTCCCGAGCTTCTATTCTCTCTCTCTCTCTCTCTCTCTCTCTCTCTCTCTCTCTCTCTCTCTCTCTCTCATGTCATATGCCCGCCATAGTTATTAACTTTCTTGCTTACAACTAAATTGTCAAATACTCTGAAATCATACTATATTTCAGAGCCTTAAACTCCATAGATCAAAATTACAACATCAGAAAAAAAATCACACGTAAAGATGGAGGAAGGCAAAGACAGGACAGACGGGGGTTTGGGGCACAAAAGGGATCTTTATACACATCACATACACTTATCCACACAGAGTACACACACTTACCTACACTTACACATTTTATATACATACAGAGTACACACACGTGCAGTGTCACACAAACACTGTCATGCACTTATGCACACACAACACATGCAATATATACTCACACGCTTATACCTTTTTTTATCTCTTGGAAGATATTGTTGTTTTTCCTGGGCAATACAATATACACTCACACACTTATGCAGCACATACACTCACACACGCAGTACACACATTGTTGTTTTTCCTTATTTGATTATTGGGATGCCAAACTTTAAGAATTTGTGTTTAATTTGATTCTTTGGTATACTCAGTTAATTAGCTAAGAATTGGTTTACATTTAGATAATATATATATATATATATATATGATTTTGGACTGTAGTTTTTCTCTAACTGAATTTGTTTTGATTCAGTGGGTTAGTGAGTTAAAACTACAAGTGGGTCTCTTTTGGTTTTTGGGCTGTTCTTAACTTTCTGTTTCCTGATTGAATTTGTTTTGATTCAATTGGGTTAGTGACCTAAATTGCAAGGGGGGTTTGTTTTGGTTTCCAAATGGCTCTTATGGGTTGTGTATGAGGCTGGAGGATTTGAACTAAACCACGTAATGGACATTCATAATAATGTGCAAGTAGGTATTACATATATAAATTGCATATGCACTTAATGGTTTGCATTGGTTGCTGTTTTTGCATAATGGTTTGAATCTGTGCTTAGGTTGGTTTGAAACTCAGGTTGTGTGAATTAGTTTCAGTTTAATTGGGGGAATGAAAACTTCCTATTGAAAACGAATAAAACACAATGCGGGTTTAGGAAAGTGAAACCCTCAGTGTGTTTCATTCATTTTCGACAAGAAGTTTTCATTGTGAGAAATTCTAATGAACTACTTAATCTCACAAATTTGCAAAGCTAATGGAAAGTAGTTTAACAGTAATAGAAACAGAATTTGTGAGATTAAATTTGTAAAGCTACTTTGAAAATGCGTTTTCTAGATTAATCTAATTCAAAATGCATTACGGAATCAGAACATGCAGCAACACACGGGCCATTTTTCTTGTGAGAGCGAAAACAAATATAATCAGGACTCAGTATAAATCAAATAAACAGCGAGGGGGTGTGTGAAAATGTGAGGACAAAATTCCACATCGGTAAGGGAATAAACTATGCAAGGGCTTATAAGAAGTTGAACTTCTGTCCATATTATCAATTGATTTTAAGGTGTAATCTCAACTTTCTTCATATACATTCGAAGAGGTGCAGATTGATAGATTGCCCTTCCTACTTTGTAAATCTTTGTTTCACTCGTAAAATTAAACAATGTACATAAAGTAAAACAATGTACAAAAAGTATACTTACACCACCGCCACTCCATTACACGAGAGTGAAAAACAAATATAATCAGGAAATGAACAGTCATGGCCCTAGAACGGGATCCTCGGGTTGTTACTTTTGTTTCTGTAAGTTGTATTACCACTTTGCTTTTACTCAATGCTACTCATTGTTCTTCATTTGTGCAGACACTTCCACATTTCAGATAGAGCTCCGCCTTGATGCAATTCAGTGACCAACATATATACATATATATATATATATGTATATATATATGTGTGTATATATATATATATATATATCTTGGTCAATGCATCAGCATCCCCCATATCTCTCACACTTGCCAAATTGTCTTTAAATTCATATTCATGGATTTCGAGATTGGATTGGGTATGAATATATATATATATATATATATATTGCTTGGATCGATTATGTAACGTTTGGAATTTGAAAAAAAATTGAAGATTTTAAGTTTGAATCCCAATTTGATCTGCAAACGCCGTTCAGACCGTAACAGCCAAATTATACCAGATGTATTCGATAGCTTCTCCTACAGGTGATATTTTACTTTAAAGTAATATAAATTAAGGAGCAGAGGATTTGAACTCGGTGTTTATGGGGAGTATTTTATTTTTATTTATATACACCTTAAAGTTCTTGTTTGTTTGATGCATTCTCTTTCATTTCTCTTTCCTTCCCTCCCCTCATCCCTTCTACCCTTCTAATACTAATAGTAGTTAAAAGGTCGTACCCAGTGCACAAGACTCCCGCTTTACGCAGGGTCTGGGAGAGGTGAATGTCGGCTAGCCTTACCCCCATTTATAGAGAGGCTGCTCCCAAGTCTCGAACCCGAGACCTACCGCTCATGGGCGAAGACACTTGCCATCGCACCAAATGCGACCTCTCTAATAGTAGTTTAATAGTAGTTAAACTTGAAAATAGATCCAAAACAAAACCAAATGTTGGGTGTAGTTCGTACTTGTGATGTTGAACCTGGAAAAACTAAGGCTAAATCAAATCAAATACATCTCTAGCACGAACACTTATATTCCAACATATCCACCATGTGTAGTGCTCCCATATTTACATGTATTATATATTACAAATCCGTGTTATATATATATATTGCCTATAATATATTACAAACACACGGGTCATTTCAGAGACCCACGTTAACTTATATTACAGATATGGGTTAGATATAGCAAGACTAAACATCACACTACACAAAGGCTAACAGAATGCAACAGACTTAACCCCAAAACAACTTAAACAGCAACTAAACATGGAGATCAAATAAATAAGGACTAAAAAGCACTTTATCCCCTCCTCCTCGTGCGTCTTGGCTGCCGCCTCCTGCTAAATTTCTTGACAACCATTCGTGCTTCTTGTTTGCTAGTGTGTTCCCAGCAACCACCCCAACTATTAGACCACTAACGACTCCTGGCAGAACCACATACCAATATTCAAGAAAATTGAGTTGCGCCAAATTACTGGGGATCCTTCCTGAGAGCTGGTTGTGGGAGAGATCTAACGACCCGAGCACATTCAAGTTCCCCAACGATGAGCGGATTTGACCGGTAAGAGCGTTATTCGAAGGGTTAAGCAAAACAGGGCCTCTTAGATTCCCAATACCTGCTGGAATATCTCCCTTAAATTTATTACCTGATACATCTATGAGTTTGAGAAGATTGTGAGCGAGAATGCATTTCTATAGTGGATTGAAAATCCAAGTGAGTTGAGGGAGAAGGAGTTCTCAACATACGTTTGCTTGCTTTTGTCAACAAATTTCAAGGAATTCCAGCACTCAAAGTAGTTTAAGGGCAACATACCAGAAAAATTATTGTTAGACAAATCGATTATGCAGAGCTTGGGGAACTCATGGGTTGTTGCAGGGTTACGAATCACGCCATGAAATCTATTAGAACACAAAATGAGAGCCAGTAAGACTGGAAGTGCCCCTAACCAAGATGGGAAGATGTCACTGATATGATTGTTTCCAATGTTGAGAAACACCAACCGAGAGCAATTGGCAATTGACCTTGGTAGCTTTCCCCGTAACTGGTTATAACTCAAATCAACAGATGCCAAACTATTTACGGTTGGACATAACGAAGGAAGATTACCGTGAAAAGAATTGTTCTGCAGCCTCAATAGTCCAAGATTACTGGAGTTCCCCAAACATTGAGGAAGCTTGCCTCTCAAGTTATTGTTGGACAAGTTAAGAGTCTTCAGATCATTCAAGTTGCAGAATGATGGTGAAATTTCTCCACTATTTTGAAACGTTATAAATTATGATGGATTGTGGCGGAATTGGCAGTGATCCTTGTAACCTGTTAAAGTGGAGAGATAAGTACATTATATTCTGCCACGGAAAAGTGCCCGGATCTTGCTCAAACCCTGTTACAAAGTTGTTGGCAATATTGAGATCCATCATTGTTTCTCTAGTTGCATTCCACAACCACCTTGGTATTTGGCCCCGAATGTTGTTGTACGAAAGGTAGAGGATGATCAACTCATATTGATCATGTAAAAATTTAGGAAACTCTGTCCAGTTGCAGGAAACCAGCTTTAGAACCTGAAGCTTAGGAAAAGCGGCACTCATATTGGTTTTGAAATTCAGAGATAATTTGTTTTATGAAAAGCTTTTAAAGAAAACTTCAACCAATCCACTCAAGTTGTTAAAGGAAAGGTCAAGGGATTGAAGATTTCGGAATTGGAAGAGCGATTTTGGAATTTCTCCTCCTAATTTGTTATGACTGAGGTCTAGATCGCTTAGGTGGGACAAGTTCATAAGCCAAGAAGGGACTGGACCGGTCATTTCATTACATCGCAAGTTAAGGTACGCAAGTTTCGTCAGGTTAGCCAGAAAAGCTGGGAACTCTCCCCTTCTAGCATGATCAAGGCCTAAGTGGGAAAGGTTGGTTAGCTTTCCAACCCAAAACCAAGGATAAAAAGCTAATTGATTTGTGGAAATGTTTTTTGTAGAGTCATAAAATGCGGAAATGTCAAGGGAACTGAGTTGGGTAAGGTTTCTGAGTGAGGATGGAAGACGGGGATAGAAGGTACAGTATGAGAGTCCTAGCACATTTAAGGAATGAAGGTTTCCGAGAGAAGGCAATTGACCATAGAATTTCGTGAACGAAACAACCAATCTCTTGAATGAATTGGTCTTGTTAAAGTCAGGAAAATAACCGGTTAGGTCATCGTTTGCAGGCAGATTAAGAACTTGTAAGCTTGGTAGGTGGAAAACACCAACTGGGAATTCTCCATACAGCCCACAACCACCGAGTCTGAGGGATATGTCTACC